TGCTGCACCCCAGGTCATCACAGTGAGTCTCTCTCTCTCTCTCTCTCTCTCTCTCTTTTTCTCTGAGAGAGCGAGAGAGAAACACAGAACAATTTTATTTCGTCTGAATCCAGCAAATCTAGCAATAAGATCTCAAGTTTCTACTTTTGTATAGGATGGACAATATATAACTACTTAAAAAAAAACATATTGTGAAAATACAGCTTTCATCATTATTCCCCCTGCATTAAAAATACTTAGATGGCAGATAACCAGAAAGAGCAAGCTTATGTTCAGTTAGCTGGAAGTTAGTGTTGTGATTATAGGGGGTTCATTAGTTTTATTTCTTTTATTATGATTTTTAATTTTATGTATATAAGGGTTGGCACCTCTTTCTCTTTTCTGTGTTGGCTCTGTGTGGATTAAGTGGAGGCTAACATTTACATTTCAAATTATTATTTTTTTCAATCCTGACTCAATTTATTCAGTTGTCAAAATGCAACTGTTTCGAATGCAGCTATACCTAGATCTATTTTGAATCATTACATCTTTGAAGGATGCGCCATAAAACATAAGGTCTCTAGGTCCTTCACACAACACCCAATCTAATATTGGATTGAACAAACATGTGGGGAAAGATGATTTCAAACACCAGGGCAGGCCTTCATTATTTATATTTGTAACATTTTGTTTTCTTTCCTAATTAAAGGCACATTCCCCAGGGAAGCAGGGAAGCATTAAAAAGCCATTTATGATAAATTGAAACAGATTGATTGAATAGATGGCTCAGCAACTTCAGTCTGGACAGGGATCTGGGAGGAGGGATATCTGTTGGTCCAGCTGAAGTTAACGAGAAGGAAATTCCACAGCCAGGGAGATGGAAATGAACATGTTACTGTCTCTTTGGCTGAGCAGAGCATCTCACTGGCAGATGTATTTGTCTCAAGGGAACCATTCCACTGAATCTTTAATTGATGGGCAGATGCATAAAGAGTTCAGCACACCACCAGATATTCATATTGTAAGTCGTGTATGGTTGTGCATGCAGAGGACTTTGTAAATGTTCTGCAAAGGGATGACAAGCTAACGATAAGAAAGACTTGCTTTTTCTTTTTCCTGAGCATAGAACACAATGTCCTTGAAAGTTGGAGAAGAGCCACAACATCCATTTCCTTCCCTGATATCAGCCTATTTCTTTCAGGATTGTCTGTCATGACTCTCTACAGTCAGCAACAGCATCTCCCAGCTAGAACCAAGGTCGAGCTTTGAAATTCAAAGATAAGAGAGAAGGGGAGGGGGACAGGGGAGGGAGAGGGAGGGAGAGAGAGGGGGAGAGAGGGAGAGGGAGGGAGTGAGATCCTACCTAATAAGGAAATAATGTTTTCCTGCCGATAATATTTACCTTCATTAATGTTAACTTTTCACAGAATGGTCATTCTTGAGGGAAATTCCATTAAAGCAGCTTTTCCCAGCCTGTTACTCTCTCTGATATCAATTACAATTCCCAAGATATTTTACTCCCTAAAAGCAGACCAAATTGTCCCTTACCTCATTTGAAACAAATGTTTAAACCCTGTACCCTTAACACATCAGCTTCTTCCTTCCTTTTCTCTTTCAGTCCTTTTTCCACAATCTGGCTCTCTCCAAATCACCAGAGCCATAAGTGGCCACTGGCCCGAGAGCACACATGGAGGAGGCCAAAGATCTACTCCTTGCAACCCCTTCAGACTTTGCAGATCCAGTCTCAGATCTGTAGCCTCTGAACCCCAAGCAGCATCTTGGTACTGCAGCTGAATACTTTGAACAGGAAGACCGTCACACTGCGGGACCAGGCTTTCCTAAGCATCAGAATTACGAAGAGAGCTAGCTGAGGTAGGAAGTAGGCACAGTAAGTAAACTTTTAGAAACTTTCTAAAATAGAATCAGGCTGGAGACAAGATAACATTTCAACCTGTCTTCCAACCTCATCTGGGTCAGAACCACTACTGAACTGCTTTCTTGGATACATCAAGCTTAACTTAGACCTCCACTATTCTTCTAATCTGTCTCTATTAAGTAGTGCTTCTTGGCTTCAGATCCATGGTGCAGCTTGTCTAAGCTTTTGGCTCTAGTTCTCTATTAGCTGGTTTTGTCACCGTCCTTCTCTTTCAATCCTCTCAATCCACTTGGGATGGAACAGATAGACTTCCCAGCCAGAATTATGTCTAGAGTGTTATTTTGCAACATATCTGAAACTTGGAACTCTGCCATCACACAAACCCGAAGGGCATGATCTTGCACAATTATACAGGCAGTCCTCAGATTACGACCACATGCAGGCTCTTCGGCTGACTGCAATTTGGCAGTTCGAATCCCACCAGGCTCAAGGTTGACTCAGCTTTCTATCCTTCTGAGGTGGGCAAAATGAGGACCCAGATTGTTGTGGGCAATAGGCTGACTCTGTAAACCACTTAGAGAGGGCTGTAAAAGCACTGTAAAACGGTATATAAGTCTAAGTGCTAATCATAAGCGCTATTGCTAATCATAAAATGTCCACCCGCCCCAAAAATTTTTTTATTAAAAATCTCAAAGGATGACAACCAATTCAACTCAGCTATTAAATCTATTGTATGTTGGAAGTCGCGGATAAGCACCTGGTTACAAGAGGGTCTCAAACTATTTAACTTGGTAATGGAATCAAAACTTATTATTGAAGAGGAACAAGCCCTGTTGAATAAAATCAAAACTGATTCTAAAGTGGATTTTAAAAATTCAACTAACAAAAGTGAGCTGGTTTTATAAATGAAATTGAATAATGAACTCAAAAGTTTAAAAAGATTTACAAATAATAAACCAAAGAATGATGGATTTATATATACCGTGTTTCTCCAAAAATACAGCCTCCCCCAATAGGAAGTCCCAGCATGCTTTAAAGGCATAAAATCAAATTAAGCCCCTCCCCCCAAATTAAGGCCTATATTAAACATGCGAAATGGGGGGGAATGGCGGGGGGCTGGCCATTAGGAAGTACTTTTGTTGCATACCTGGATATGGTTCTGCCTGCGTTAATCTCGGCGTTGGTGGGGCACTTCGTACCGGGAAACCTTCCGCCACCATTGCTTTCCCTTCTCCCCATGCTGCCATGGCGTTTAAAGCAACACCGCGGCATTTGGCACTGCCACACGCTGCCAGCCAGGGCTCCTCCCGGCAACCGGAGCCTGGCAGAGACACTCGGCTTCAGGCACTCCTGTCACCGCCTTCCCTTCACCTTCGAAGGCAAAGCCAATTCTTTTAAAAACGACACCCTACTACTGGTATGACAAAGCCTCCCCCGCCCGAGAGGGCAGCCCAACCCCACGTGGGGAGGCGAATCTCCTGGGGCGCAGGATTGGCCCACCCCGGGAGAAGCGTCCAGCCACCATCCCTGCCTGGCGTCAGGCAGAGCATGAAGAGCTTCGCCTGGGGCACCCAGTGCAGCTGACAGGCAGGTCCTCCTGCCCGGCAGCAGAGCTCTCGCCAAGGCAGCGAGCGCTTCCCCACTGGACCCTCCACTCATCCCGCCAGGGCCACACCGGAGCCATGCAGGCTGGGCAGAGCAGGGAAAGTGAGCCGCGGGTGCGCGCCTGCCTGCCAAATGAAAGAACCAGGCCGACCTGAGCTTGGCTTCCTTCCCAAGTCCCTCTAGCCCAAACCCAAAGGGGCCACCGGGAGAGGCTGCCCGAGGCAATGATAGCGCCCACTCGTCCGTGGACAGGGAGGCAAGGTGATGGCAGGGCTGCTTCCCTGGCTGGCAGGTCGAGTTGAGAGAGCCCGAAGCTGCCCGTCCTCTCCACCCCTCGCCCAGCCTGCCCCCGTCCCCACGCATCTCTAAACATGCTGGCAGCTCCAAACCCTGCAGCGGTATGGGCATCGGGCAGAGGCACTCACTCACTCGAGGCTCAGCTCAGTGGAGGACGCGGCGCAGCCTGTCAGCTGCACTGGGCGCCCCAGGCGAAGCTCTTCATGTTCTGCCCGGTGGCAGGCAGGGATAGCGGCTTCTCCTGGGGTGGGCCGATCCTGCGCTGCAGCCCTGGGAGATTCACCTCCCCATATAGGGTTGGGCTGCCCTCTCGGGCAGGGGAGTCTTTGCTGTACTGGTAGTAAGGCGTTGTTTTTAAAAGAATTGGCTTTGCCTTTGAAAGCAAACTGCTTGCACTGGCACAAAGCACCAGCCTGAGGATGGCAAGTGGGACCTCGCCGAAACGTCGCCAAGATACTTTTAATCTTACACAGGAAAAGACCCAAACACACCTAGACCTACATACCTGTACCCGTGAAAATCTACGAAAACACGCGCACACACACACACATATCTATATGTATATATGACTATAAAGGATTTACTGGAGCTATAGTGCTTTACTAGAACTACAAAAGGACTTTGATAATGATGACAAGAATTTTGAGAAAAGAGACCAGAAAGGAGATGTTAGAATATTATTTGTGGAACTTAAAGACTGCTTGCAGAAAGAAGAAAAATACAAGATTGGTTTATTTGATTATAGTTAAAATAATGGCTAACTATCTGTGGTATATAGTCAAGGGTTTTTTGGGGGGGCAATGTTTAATTGGATGCAATGGATTAAATTGTAAAACTATTTTGTGTAACAGCAGACTAGAAAGGTTGGGTGATTTTCAGCCAGTCACTCTCTCACAGACCAAGCTATCTCACAGTGATATTGCTGTGAGGAAAATAGAGGAAGAAGGTGTGTTGGAACCAGTTTTTCTTTAATGTCAATGATTGATTGTGGCATAATTCAAGAATCTCCAGTCGTTTCTAAATTTATTAAAGCACACAAAAGAAGACATAAATAGGCAAATTGGGCTGTATCTCTGAGAATTCTTTGCCATTTTGCCAATGATAGGAGTGATGGAAGTCAAAAATTACCTACTCCTACATTAAGGGAAGTTTGTCTTCCAAAACTAACTGCAGGCTCTCAATGGCCCTAAACTAGCAGGGAGATAAGAACCCACGTGTTTGTCCTTATAAATGTGCCCATTACCTTCAGGAGATGTTGTGCTGTGTAGAATCCAGCTGGTCCACTGCCTACAATACATATTCGAGGTCTGAACTCAGCTGTGGAAAGAAGCCGCTTGATACCTGAGAACAGAGAAAAAGAAGAAATTATGTATAAGTAGTCCTTGACTTACAAACATTTTATTTAATGACCGTCTGAAGTTGCATCAGTATTGAAAAAAAGTAACTTATGACCATTTTTCACACTTACATGACCGTTGTGGCATCCCCAAAATCCCATCACAATTTGGATGCTTGGCAATTAGTTCATATTTATGATGGTCGAGCTATCCTCATTGCACAATCTTTTGTAATCTTCTAACAAAGTTAATGGAGGAGCCAGGTTCACTTAACAAACCTGTTGCTAACTTAACAACTGCAGTGGTTCATTTAACAACTGTGGCAAGAAAGGTCGTAAAATGGGACAACGCTCACTTAACAACTATCTTGTTTAGCAGCAGAAAGTTTGGTCTATCGTGGTTGTTAAGTCAAGGACTCCCTGTAGTCCTCCAGGTTCAGCCTGGAAGCTGCTGGAATAACCTACCAGAAAAATATGATAAACTCTGAGAGATTGAGAGAAAAGAGTGAAGTATCTTCTTCTACTTGGTATCTTCTTCTACCAGGAAGATACCAAGATTACAACAATGGACCATTGCCTCCAAATTCAGTTCCAACCCAGACAGAGAATGATCCCAATTCTGTTTCTTGAACTGAAAAAAAAAACCTAACACAGCACAAGCTCCTGTCATGATAAGATAACATGGGCTTTGGTCTGCTTAATAACATGATGCACCAGACATGATTTTGTATGATTTGGCTCAGATTCCTGTGTGGAGAACTTACATTTGCAATACATCATTACATTCATTTCAACTGGCTGAATCTCCTGATTTCCCTGGCACTCGACAAAGGGCCTAAACAAAGGTGATAACACCTTGAATTGAATCTGAAAGCAAACTGGTGGAACAGTGATGTAACATGGGGCACCCAAGTACTCCCCATGCAGCTGTTTTCTGGCAATTGCTGATCAATGGTTGCTCGGTGGTTTCTAAGTCTGTGACCTAGCAGACAACATTCAACTGATTTGTCTGTTAATAACTACTTTTGATTTTTCTAAAGATCACGCCTTCTACAATAATCCTTGCTTTTGCATTACCTTTACCATAGCTATTGCCAACACAGCCTTGGAACACCTTCTGCAACAAGTAAATGAGAGAAATTCCACACTGCTATTCTTCTCCCATCATGTAATATTTAGATATTGGTTTGACTTTTGAAATGCATATATATTTCTGCATAGTTTTATATTATAAGCAAGAAATGAAAAAGAAGAGAAACAGATAGAAAGATAAGATAAAAATTCAGCTGGAGTTAATTATAAATCCTTAAGAAAGCTCTGAATTAAAAAAATATAAATCAACATATACAAAGATCTCTAAAAATACTATCTACACGTTCCAATAAAAAGTTAGTACAAGTTTGGAACAAGAATTGCCACTTAATTGTTATGAAATCCATCTGAATGATCTTCTTACCATTTTGTATCATTGCATGACTTTATACACTCTGGTGTTTTACATTATTCAGTGCACTGCAGAATCCTTGACAATGTGCTTATATATGACACTAAATTCATTCATAATCTCATCCCTTATGCTGAACTTTAACACTAACACTTCCGCTGGTATAAAATCTTTCATTCATTACAGAATAGTAATAATAATAATCATCATCATCCAGAGGCCAGAGATCATAGAGTTAATCAGAGATGTGAAGGCCTAGACATGACAGCCCTTTTTTCCAGTGCAATAACCTTGACATTTATTGACTTTTTTTTTTTTTTGCACTACAACATGCAAAATAAATGTCCGTTGCTAAAAAAAGAATCTTACAAACACTGCTTCTATCATTCATTCTCTGCCTCTGGGTCTCAAGAAATGGATGCCATGGAAGAAAAGAGTTTTTCACACATAATCTTTAATTTTTACTTGAGCTTAAGTCCCTTCAGATCTTTCATTTACCTTTATGCTGGGGGGAGAAAAATGTCGAGAAAAACCTGGGCTGCAAGGAGAACATATTATTTCACAGTAGACAAAGCAAACCCAAACTACTTGCCAGAAGCACAAAAATGAAGATCGAGTTTAGACACGCAATGTAAAGGCATTACCGAAGTCATTGGAGAAGACTCCTAGTACTTCTGAAAATGGAAGGCTAAGAGAAGATGATCAAATACAGTCAGTGAACCCACACACGGGAATTTAAAAGAACACAAAGAAGGTGTAACTGACAGACTATCCTGGAGAAATTATGGCCATTGGGGTCACAAAGTGTTGGAAATAGCAGGATAAGTATTAGTTTCCTTCGGATAGTTTGCACAGCAACTGCTATAATTCCCAGGAGAATAATTATTTCAGAAGAGAAAGGATTAAATACAGGTAGTCCTCGAGTTACAATCACAATTGAGCCCAGAATTTATGTGGGTAAGTGAGAAATGTACTAAGTGAGTTTTGCCCCATTTTACGACTTTTCTAGCTACATTTGTTAAGTGAATCACTGCAGTTGTTAAATTAGTAACACAGTTGTTAAGTGAATCTGGCTTCCCCATTGACTTTGCTTGTCAGAAGGTCGCAAAAGGGGATCATGTGAGCCTGGGACACTGCAACCGTCATAAGTATGAACCAGATGCCAAGCATCCGAATGGCTACTGACAGGAGTGAATCAAGTGTGGGATATCAACCTTGAAACCCCTGACATTTTTCCTGCTACATTAACCAGCCTTTGCTTGCTTAACAGAAGGCCAGGAGAGATCAGGCCAATACTGATAGTCTTCAATTTACAACAGTTCATTAAATGACCGAAATTATAACAGCACTGAAACTGATGACCTATGGTCGTTTTTTACACTTACAACCGTTGCAGCATCCCCATGGCCACAAAATCAAAATTCAGATGCTTGGCAATCATATTTATGACGGTCACAGAGTTCTGGGGTCATGTGATCTCTTTTTGTGACCTTCTGACAAGCAAAGTCAATGGGGAAGCCAGATTCATTTAACAACCATGATACCAACTTAACAGCTGCAGCGATTCCTTTAACAACGGTGGCAAGAAAGGTCATAAAATGGAGGCAAAGCACACTTAACGAATGTCTCACTCAGCAACAAAAAAAATCTATGGTTGTAAGTCGAGGTTTACCTGTATGATATCCCATGGCAAGGATTTACACAGACTGAGAGCGGCAATTGAAGAGTCCTTGCCTCTTACACATTCCCCAAATGTACTTCCTATAGAAGTAATACAGAGAGAAGGGCCCCCCTAAACTTTTGACAGGGTCTAACACAAGTATGTGATCTTTGAACATTCTTGTACAAACTTATCCATGGCTTTGGAGATCATAACCACCACTCTACATTGTGCTGGAAACCAACCATTCTCAGTCATCACACTCTTCTCATGGTCTTTCTTAATGATCTCATGTCAACCAAGATGACGTGCAAATGACTCCCACAAAAACTTTGACAGCCAAATTGATCTAAACCCAACCTTAGACTTTTCCTTCCCTTATCTTAAGGGCACCTATATCTATGCTTTATTAAATTAACTAGCTGTTCATAAACTAATGTGTAGTGCCACAGTTGTTTGCATTATACCTTTGCAGGAAACATCACAGATACTCAGCAGCAGCATTACACAACACGATCCTGGCCCAGGACTACAATGCCAGCATTATGAAGAAGGCAATTATAACACAGAGCCTCTGAAGAGCTGTCTGAATATTTTAATTTGCAAATAAGCACTCGGCTTTAAAAAAATGACATTGCAGAAATGCATAAATGCAGACACAGCAGCGACACCACATTGTGTTCCCAATCTCCTGGTTTACAAACTTTTAAGGCTCAATATATACCTGAAAATGTATATATAAAGGCCTACCTGGAGAAATGGCACTCTCCTTTTCGTCGGAGCACCATACTATAAAACCTCCTTGTGCAGATACTGCAGCCTGTCTCATCAGGGGCTCATCATCGTTACCTTAGGCACTGTACAAACCACCTGCACAGGGTCATTTCTCTCCTTATCCCCTGAAACGCTAGATTGGGCCCCCCCCCTAATCCCCCCCCCCCCCCCGATTTGGATCAACTTCCTCGACTTGATCCTCTTCAAATAAACTGGACTATAAACGCAACCAGTCCCAAGAACTGCTTTTCTCTAGCGGGAACGGGAGACCCGGCGCAATTGATCTGGGCGGTCTTCCCAAAAACCCAGACTCTTCCCCACTTCCCTTCTACCCTAATTATCTTTTCTGAATATTCTTTGCACAAGAGCAAAAAAATGAGATTTATGGTTCCTTCGATATTTCTCTATCATTCCGTAGCCCGAGCTACCTCCGCCCCTTTTGAATCTCACTGTTTTTAAGCCTCCCTGCCTCTCGCTTGCTCCTGGACTGTCAAATCTCTCTGGAAACCTCCCCCTCCCCGCCCAGCTACATTCACAATCTGCAGAAAAACGAGAGATCGCTCACCAGCTAGAGGTCCCTTGGGCTGCAAGACCCCGAGCGCAGAAAGACGCCGGCCGCAGCCGAGGATCCCCCCGGCTCGACTCATCGTGAGAGCGGCGTGACAGCGTCAAACCACAGCGCTTACCCCGCCACTTTACCCGGCTTTCATCAGAACGCAAAGGAGCCAATCACGGAAGGGGAAGTATATTTAATTAACATAGATCCGCCCATCCGTCGCCGGAAAGCTTCTGTGGGTTTTTTTTTGCCACGCCCCGCGATCAAGTCAAATGCCTATCACGTCGATTGCTGTGAGACCTTATTGACCAATCCGGAAATCGGAACAAAACGCAGGATGTGATCTGTTCTTAGTGGTGTTAAACTCTTCTCGTGTATCCTTCACTCAACGAAACTAATATAAAACGCAGGTTTAGTAACTTTAGGTATTTCGATTTTCGTAAGCTGGGTTTGCAAATGGGGCTAGAACTATAACGATTTAATAAAATCATGGTGAATGGATTCTCACAATGCATTGAACTATAAACCACCTAGCATTTAAATTGTATGTGTGGTCGGTTATCATATACAGTATTAAACTATGGCTTTGGTAGTTAAGCCAGGGTTATCAGATGTCTGACCAGGCAAAGGTGGACCTGGACAATTGGAACGGAAAACAAGTGGGGGAAAGGAGGACGCACTGAATGTTCAATTTTCTGGGCATCTGTGTCCAAAATTATAGCAAAACGCTGGCAGAAGTGTACAGTCATTAGGTCTACATGGATACTTTTTACCACTCAGAAAGTCTGGTGGTTCAATTGCAATATTTTCCAACACTTTTTTTATTCCCAATAACAGATGGTAGCAATAATTAGAATCAATGGCAAAGTGCTTTCGTCCTTACGTTTCAAATTTTACTATGGAAATGTTTGAGGAATGATATGATTTACAGACTACCATGATCGTAGATTTGACAGGAGGGGGCAAGTCGAGACTGTCAGATCTGTCAACAAGGAAAGAAAGAACAGATAATGAATGTTTGAATGACTACTGCTATGAAACAGCCCAATTTAAAACAAGACATTCAAAAAGCCAGAGAGTATTTGATTTTAAGACTTTGCCTCCCAGACTGAAGACAAAAGGACCAAAAAAAAAAGACATCCTTTTTGCCAGACATCTAATAAGCTATGATAGGAAGTAGGGGTCAACAATTGGAAACAATACAGAAAAAAAGTGAGTTGGAAAACTATGCAATTTTCCTTACATTATGTCAGGTGCAACATAATACTCTGTCATGACTTTTCATACATTATTTTTTTCCGTTATTGTTTTGCTGTTTCTATCTTAGCTAAACATGAAAAGCATGCCCAGATAAGAAACCTCTCTTAGGCTACATTTAATGCAAATATACGAAGAAAAAAATGTTTCCAAAAATCTATTTTAAAAAAACAGCTGTATTTTATGACTCTGCCAAGAGCTTTTTGTTTGAAAGTTCCTTGAGGCTGAATAAAAGACAGATCTGCTTTGTTTAGATCCTTTCTGGAATACTGTAGTCACTTCTGAGCATTTTGAATTGAAACAAATCCAAAGAACAGCTGTGAGAAAGAGTAGAAGACTAGAAAAAAAAGGCTTGTGAAAAAAGATTTGAGCTGAGCAACTTTAGCCTTGAGAAGAAAAGGTTGGAGAGGAGTGACACAATAGCTCTCTTCAAATACTTGAAAGGATGTCATGGAAAAATGGTCATAAACTAGTTCAAAGTGCCAGCTGTAGAATAATGGATTTAAGTTAGAGAAAGGCAAATCTGGTTTAATGTTAAATGTTATTCCTAACAATAAATACTGTTCAGAAGTGGATCCAGTTACCTAGGGAAGTGGTGAACTCACTTTCACGGGACGTGTTCAAGTGGAACTAGCCAACCATCTTCAGTTTGGATTCCTATACTTAGTAGCAGGTTGGCTTTGATCAGACAAATGGCTTCTTTGAACTTTATGATTCTATAATTTCTGCGATTTCAATGAATTCTTCATGATTTTAATGAGATGTGTCTTGGCTCCAATCTCCATATTGAAAACTTGAAAAATACAGAAACAGTTCACTACTTAACAAGTCTCTCCTTAGCTCATCTGGTGGAGAACCTGGTCAACCTTTTCTGTGGAAAGAAGTTTAGCCCTGTTAATCATGGTACTCATTGTTAATTGGTTCCAGGAAACGTGATGAGTACCAAATGAGTACCAAACAGATTTTTCCCATAAGGAATAATATAGTGAGTCACAAGGCAGTTGACAGTGACAAGTTCTAGCTTGTGTGTTGAGGATCAAACAAATGATGAGTATGGGACAAAATTTTCACATCAAAATGTATTAAGCATCAAATTAGATGAGTTTCAAAGCAGTTGAGTATCAGGGTATGATACTTGTGCTTAGAATTGTATGAAACTTGCCAAAAGTAAGTTGCATTAGATCCATAGAAATGTCCACTCTGATCTTATGCATGTTTACCTGGGAGTTCCCTTAAGAACTGTCATTTTATTTTCAAATTAATTAATTTAGGATCATAGCCTCTTTGTACAGAATGCCAAATCATAATGCAATTTGTTTTTGCTTAACTTTATTTGTAAACCTGATCACTATGGCTTGTTCAACCAATCATACTACAAATAGTCTTCAACATACAATAGTTCATTTAGTGACCGTTCAAATTTACAATGCCACTGAAAAAGTGACTTATAACCATTTTTCACACTTAACGATGATTGCAGCATCCCTATGGTCATGAAATCAAGCTTGACAACTGGTTCATATTTATGATCGTTACAGTGTCTCAGTGTCACGGGAAGCCCTTTTACAATCTTCTGATAACCAAAGTCGATGGAGATGCCAGATTCACTTAACAACCATGTTACTAACTTAAGAACTGTAGTGATTAAATATCTTAATCACTTAGTAACTGTGGCAAAGACAGTTGAAAAATGGGCAAATCTCACTTAACGAATTTCTCATTTAGCAACAGAAATGTTGGGCTCAGTTGTCTTAAATCGAGGACTACCTGTAATTTAAGATCTTAACTTAATGTTATATCAAAATTCACCTATCTGAATTTTGTCACTACACAAATGGATTTCTGCTCTTTTCTTACTTCTCTCCCACATTTCCCTCCCAATTCTATTCTGGAAATTCTTCTAACAGTTCAATGCATATCAGGAAGAAGCATGGGGATGCTGTGACAGTCATATGTGACTTTTATCAATGCTATTGTAACTTTGAATGGTCACTAAACAAATGATTATAAGTCAAGGACTGCCTGTAGTAATGTAGGTATTTTGGCGTCACGCTCAAACCTTTATATGTACTTATTTTTTTCCAAATTATGAAAACAAAATGGTATTCTGTGAGGTTAGATGTTTAATGCTTTATTCTACTGCAACAGAGAGTCAGAAGTCAACACTTTTTTTCCCCTTTTCTTCCCTCCTCACTTGTCTTTCCCCTTTCCCTCCCTACTGTGTCTTACTATTTGCTTTTGTATTGTGTATTTTATTCTATACTGTAATAAAATGTTTAAATCAGAAAAATCTGATTGCAGACAGAAATAAACACCTAAAAATATGTATTCTGCTTGGAATCTTTTGCTAATGTTCCAGTGAACATTAATTGTAATTTCAGCAATTTCTTGTCCTTCATAGGTATTATATTTTTTGAAAATACATCTCTGTTTTTAAATTAAAAATATAAAATAACACAACAAAAACCCCTGGCAATCATCTGCTATATCAACCTTTACAAGCTTGATACCCCGGGGAGGTTATGAGATTGCAGTTCCAATCATTCCTTTCAAGTCGTGTTTCAGGGAGTTGTAGTTGAAGATTTCTGAGGCACCTCAGTTTGGGGAAGACTCATACGTTGAACGATGAGTATATTGTATCCATCTCAGAACTATTCTTGTTTCTAGACTATGCCTTTTTTTAAAAGCTATTTATTAAAGGCCTTGAAGCCAAAAATATCCACTTCCTAAAAGGTCCATTAGATAAGCCATCCATGGAAAAAATAAAGCAAGGCTACATAGACTTATCTTTTTAAAATATATCACACAGTTGCCACATCGTATTTCATCTGGTGGTCTTTGATCTGCAGAATTATGAATATTTATGACTTCCATAGGAACAATGGAAAATGCGCCACAATTTGTAGTGCCCTGACATTGTCAGTTTTCTATTTAATTAAATAGCTGGGAAAACTGAAAACTTTTATTTAAAAACAATCTGTTTTGTGCTGCAAACCTCAAATACCTTGTATTATTAAACTTGGATTTCCGCTGACATTTAATTTTAAGGTGATTTGTGCATATACTTGTTTTCATTGCTCACCAAATTGACAGTATTGATATATGTGACAGATGTAGGCAAAGTATATAGTTGCCAGTGTCAAGCTAGTTATAATTAACATTTCCCATCAAAATTCATAAGAATAAAAGGTTGGCAGAGATTTTGCATTTTAAAGCGGCTGTTGGGTCATTGCTTCATTATATGCATAAGTAGCCAAACAATCCTAAACCACCTTGACACTATTGTTGCAACAATATTGTGGCAAGTCTGCAGGTTAAACACTGAACATTGTTTAACACTGAACATCTGTACATTGGCTTCACCAAATAACAGGTAGTCCTCATCATAAGACCGCAATTGAGCACACAATTACCATTGCTAAGCAAGACAGTTGTTAAGAGAGTTTTGCCCCATTTTATCACTTTTCTTGTCACAGTTGTTAAGTGAATCTGGTCATTAAACCAGTCTGGCTTCCCCCATTGACTTTGCTTGTCAGAAGCCAGCTGGGTAAGTTACAAATGTTGATCACATGACTTCAGGACAATACATGCCGGTTGCCAAGCATAGCTTTGATCACATGACCATGGAGATGCTGCAATGGTTGTAAATATGAAAACTGGTCACAAGTCACTTTTCAATTCTGTTGTGATTTTGAATGGTCACTAAATGAACTGTTGTAAATTAAGGACTACTCAAATATGGATGTGCCTTAAAATGATGGAGAAAAATTCTCCACAAATTGATTGCAACTTGGCATTCTTAAGGACCATTGGTATAGCAAAGTTAGATGAATCCAGATGCCTAGTTGATGTCGCATGCAGGCCACCAAGCTGTTTGACGGA